CCCCTTTGTCTGTAGGAAGTGGGAGGAATTGAAAGAGAATTTCACAAGCTTCAAAATCTCCCCTCCCCCTACCGCATCCCAAAACCAGCCCAGCTTGTCCCCGCCTCCCTAACCTGTCCTTCCTCCCACCTATCCCCTCCTCCCACCTCAAGCCCTACCCCCATCTCCTATCTACTAACCTCATCCCGCCCCCTTGACCTGTCCGTCCTCCCTGGACTGACCTATCTCCTCCCTACCTCCCCACCTACACTCACCTTTACTGGCTCCATCCCCGCCTCTTTGACCTGTCTGTCTCCTCTCCACCTATCTTCTCCTCTCCACCTATCTTCTCCTCTATCCATCTTCTATCCACCTCCCCCTCTCTCCCTATTTATTTCAGAACCCCTTTCCCCTCCCCCATTTCTGAAGAAGGGTCTAGGCCTGAAACGTCAGCCTTCCTGCTCCTATGATGCTGCTTGGCCTGCTGTGTTCATCCAGCTCTACACCGTGTTATCGCAGTCCATTCGCCAATTTGATTCTGTTCCACTAGTCAATATGATCATGGCTGTGATCAGCATCTCCCAGTCTACTGAGTACCCTATTCCCGCTTTCACCCCATGTCATTTGATCAATTTAGTCTAAGAACTATAGCAAACTCCTTCTTGGAAACAGTCAAAGTTTTGGTCTCAGAGACTTTCTGAGGGCGAGCATTCCACAGGCTCACCGCTCTCTGGGTGAAGAAATTTCTCCTCATCTCAGTCTGAAACGGCCTACTCCTTTTTTTATTCACTTGTAGGATGTGGGCATCGCTGACTAGGCCAGCATATATTTTCTACCTCTAGGTGACCTTGAAACGGTGATGGTGAGTGGCCTTCTTGAACTGCTGCAGTCCGTGTGCTGAAGGTTGAGCCACAATGTCATTCAGGAAGGAATGCCAGGATTTAGACCCCACAATGGTGAAGGAACAGCATTATATTTCCAAGTTAGGATGCTGAGTGGCTTAGATGGGAATTGCATATGGCAAAGTTCCCATGTATCTGCTGACCTTGTCCTTCCAGATGGAAGTGGTCATGAGTTTGGAAGGTGCTGTCTGAGGATCTTTGGTGTATTTCTGCAGTACTTGTGTAGACAGAATACACTGCTGCTACTGAGCACTGCTGCTGGAGGGAGTGAATGCTTGTGGATGTAGTACCAATCAAGTCAGCTGCTTTGTCCTGGATTGCATCAAGCTTCTCGAGTGTTGTTGGAGCTGCATCTAGGCACATGGTGAGTATTCGATCACACTTCTGACTTGTAGATGGTAGACAGGCTTTGGGGAGTCAGCAGGTGAGTTACTCACCACAGTATTCCTAAGCTCTGAACTGCTTTTGTAGCCAGTCTATTTATCTGGTGAGACCAGTTGAGTTTCTGGTCGATGGTAACCCCAGTAATGTTGATAGTCGGGGATTCAGTGATGGTAACTCTATTGAATGTCAAGGGAAGGTAGTTGGATCATCTCTTATTGGAGATGGTCATAGCCTGACATTTGTGTAGCAAGAATGTTACTTGCCACTTGTCGGCATAAGCTTGGATATAGTCCAGATCTTGCTGCATTTGACCATGGTATGCTTCAATGTTTGAGGAGTCACGAATGGTGCTAAACAGTGTGCAATCATCAGCAAACATTGCTATTTCTGACCTTATGATAGAGGGAAGGTTATTGATGAAGCAGCTGAAGATGGTTGGCCCTTAGGACACTACCCTGAGGGACTCCTGCAGAGATGTCCTGGAGTCAAGATGACTGACCTCCAAAAACCACAACCATCTTCCTATGAGCCAGGTATGACTCCAACCAGAGGACAGTCTGTCCCCTGATACCCATTGATTCCACTCAGTCGAATGTGGCCTTGCTGTCAAGGACCCTCACTCTCACCTTTTAAGATTGTGATTCCTGGTTCTGGACTCCCCATTAACAGGTACATTCCTCCTACACTTGCCCTGTCTAGTCCTGTTAGAACTTTATAGGATGCTATGAGATCCATTCTTCTAAGCTCCAGTGAATATAATCCTAACTGATCCAATCTACCTTCATACATCAGTCCTGCACTCACAGGAATCAGTCTGGTAAAACTGAAGCATAGTTATTGCTGTAAAGCAGAAAAGCAGGGCAGCTAATAGGTACACAACTAAGCTGAAAAAATAAAAATGAGCTATGAAGAAATATTAGCTGTTTTAATGACCTCAGTGTAAATAAACAGCACTGCAGCTCTGATCACAGTGCAATGTAAACAGCGGTGCACTGTAACTCTGACCCCAAAACAATGGTAGCAGCAGTGCAGTGTAACTCTGTTCCTCGCACACTGCAAACAGCTTTGCGCCATAATTGCTGATCCCAGCGCAATGTAAACAGCAACAGCAACAGAAACAGAAATTGCTGGAAAAGCTCAGCGGGTCTGGCAGCATCTGTGGAGAGAAATCAGAGTTAACGTTTCGGGTCCAGTGACCATTCCTCAGAATGGACGGTACCGAGGAAAATGTATTTTTATGAACAAGATAGGGCAGGGGATGGGGTAAGGAGTAAACGATAGGTGGGAATAGAGCCCAAAGAGATGAAGAACAGTCGGACAGACAAAGGAGTGGACAGCAATCTGGCTAGGAGGGCGAATAGCTGTTAGCAGGACTGTTAGTGGCTAACAATAGGATCCTATGGCTATTGTTGGAGGGAGTGAGGGCGGAGGTGCAGGAGATGGGTTGGACGTAGCTGAGGGCGCTGTCAACAATGATGCTGGAGAACCCTCAGTTCAGGAAGAAGGTGGACATTTCGGAAGCTCCCCTTTTGAAGTTGGCACCATCAGAACATATGCAACAGAGATGGAGGAACTGGAAGAATGGAATAGAGTCTTTACAGGATGCAGTGTGTGAGGATGTATAGTTGAGGTAACTGTGGGAGTCGGTGGGTTTATAGTGGATATTGCGGGCCAGCCTATCCCCAGAAATAGAAACAGATATCAAGGAAGGGAAGGAAGGATTCAGAGATGGACCAGGTGAAAGCGAGGGCAGGGTAAGAAATTGGAAATAAAATCAATAAACTTTTCCAACTCAGAGCAAGAGGGGAACCAGCACCGATGATGTCATTGATATACCAGAAAAAGAGTTATGCATGGGGGCCGAAATAGGCCTGGAAGAAGGAACGTTCCACGTGGCCCACAAAGAGATGGGCATAACTGGGGCCCATGCGGGTACTCATGACCACCCCTCTGACCTAAAGAAAATGAGAGGAGGTAAGAGAGAAGTTGTTCAGGGTGAGGACGAGTTCGGCAAGGTGGGGGAGGCTGGTGGTGGATGGGAACAATTGAGGCCTTTGTCCCAGGAAGAAGCATAGGGCCCCGAGACCATCCTCGTGGGTGAACAGACATGTTAAGGGATTGGACGTCCATGGTAAAGAGGAGGTGGCTGCAGCCCGCAAACTGGAAATTCGGAACTGGAGACAGTAAGGACTGCAGATACTGGAAGCCAGAGTCAATAGATGTGAAGCTGGAAAAACACAGCAGGTGAAGACAGCATCCTAAAAGCAGGACAGTCAACATCCTGATGAAGGGTTTTAGCCTGAAACGTTGACGTTCCTGCTCCTCAGATGCTGTCTGACCTGCCATGCTTTTCCCACTTCACATCTATTATCTCTGGAAATTCTGAAACTGGCGTAAAGCATCAGAGGAATTGGGGATGTGAGTGGGCAAGGACTGGACTGGGGAGAAAAGACCCAGTCAAGGTAGCAAGAGATGAGTTCTGTGAGGCAGAAGCAGGTTGAAACAATGGTCTGCTCAGGCAGTTCTGTTTGCGGGTTTTGAGAAGGAGGTAGAAGCAAGCTGTGTGGGTTTGGGGGACTCTGAGCTTGGAGGCAGTGATAGGGAGATCACCAGATGAAGTGAGGTTAATAATCTTAGTTGACACAATGGCCTACTGTTCCATTGTGGGGTCATGGTCCAGGGGAGATAGGAGGAGATGTATGAGAGCTGGCACTCAGCCACTGCAATGCAGAGGTCAGTCCACCAGACTACAACAGGACCATACTTATCAGCAGGCTTAATAGCAAAGTCAGAGTTGGATCTGAGAGCATGGAGTAGGTTATGACAACGTAAACAGTGGTGTACTGTAACTCTGATCCCAGGACAGTGCAAACAGTGGTATACTGTAACTGCGATCCCAGTAGAATGTAAACAGTGGTGCAATGTCACTTTGATCCCAGCATAGCTTAAACAGCAGTGCACAGCAATTCACGATCCTAGCACAGTGCAAACAGTAGTGCATTGTAACTCTGGTCCCAGTACAGTGGAAACAGCAGTACACTGTAACTCTGATCCCAGTACAATTTAAACAGTGGTGCACTGTAACTCTGATCCCAGTACAATGTAATCAGCGATGCAGTGTAACTGCGATCCCAGTACAATGTAAACAGCGGTGCACTCTAAATCTGATCCCAGTGCAATGTAAACAGCGGTGCAGTGTAACTGCGATCCCCCGTACAATGTAAACAGTGGTGCACTGTAACTCTGATCCCAGTGCAATGTAAACAGTGGTGCACTGTAACTCTGATCCCAGTGTAATGTAAACAGTGGTGCACTGTAACTCGGATCCCAGCGCAGCGTAAAACAGCAGAACACGGAAACTCAGAAAGAAAACAGAAATTGCTGGAAAAGCTCAGCAGGTCTGGCAGTATCAGTGAAGAGAAATCAGAGTTAACGTTTCGGGTCGAGTGACCCTTCCGGAGAACAAGGAAACTCGGAACGGTTCTCAGTACTCAGACTGCGCCACTCAGCCCGGTGACCGCCTCCAGCCGCAGTGCCGGCTCTCTGTGCCCCGGGGACCCCGGCTCACCTCGATCAGGCCGCGGTTTAATGGCTTCCCCGGTACACTCATTACTCCTCCCGCCCAACAGGCAATTCGCTTCACCTTTCCGATCGGGAGCAGCAACCCGCACGGAACCTGGGGTCGCGCAACACCGTCGGACACATGACCACAAATGGCTACAGTCGCGAATGGTTACAGCGAGGTCACGTGAGCACGCTCTGACAGCCGCCTCCAACAGCGTGAGGCCTCCATTCAGAGATAGTAGGAACTGCAGATGCTGGAGAATCCGAGACAACAAGGTGCAGAGCTGGATGAACACAGCAGGCCAAACGGCATCATAGGAGCAGCAAGGCTGACGTTTCGGGCCTAGACTCTTCACAACGTCAGCCTTTCTGCTCCTATGATGCCGCTTGGCCTGCTGTGTTCATCCAGCTCTGCACCTTGTTGTCTCTGAGTCCTCCATTCACTGGGTCTGCTCTCTCCAGAGCGCGCTAGGTCCGGGATATATTCGCTGTAAGCCCGTTGTCAGAATAGAAAAGAAAAGCAAACACTGTTGCCGGCTGACAGAAGACCCAGATTTAACGTAATTAGGCAAAAGAATCAGAGGCGACCTGAGAGGGAAACTGTTTTTAACAGTTTGCGGGAATTCTGCTTCAGTCGGGGGGGAGTAAAGTCTCAGATTGAACTTGGATAACATGCTATTTGAGGGGAAGGTGGGAGGGTATGTCGAATTTGCTACCTCTTTCAGAAAGGCGACACAGTGTGGTTGGATTGAAAGGTGTGTTTGTTTTATTCTCTCATTTTGTCATAAGTAACACTGCACGTGAGAGGAGCCACGCGTAAGACGGTAACACGAGACGCATGGAAACAAGGAAGATCATTGCAAGACAATAAAAAAGATTGGGTAGAATTTTAACGGGAGTGCAGGTTAAGAAGGACCTGACTAGCCTATTGAAGATGGTAGGATAGGCAGAAAATGTTAATAAAGCCTTGGGGTTTTTTTTTTGAGGCATACAGCACAGGAGCAAGGAGGTTTTTAACCTCACTCGTGGGATGTGAGCGTTGCTGGCTGGGCTAGCCTTTATTACCTGTCCTTAGCTTCCCTTGAGAAGACGGTGGTGAGCTACCTTCTTCAACTGCTGAAGTCCAAGTGCTATAGGCGGACTCATAATGCTGTCAGGGAGGGAATTCTGGGATTTTGACCCAGCGACATTGAAGAAATGGTAATATATTTCCAAGTCAGAATGGCGAGTGTCTTGGAGAGGAAATTGTAGATGGTGGTGTTCCGATATACCTGCTGCCTTTGTCCTTGTAGATGGGAGTGGTTGTGGATTTGGAAGGTGCTGACTAAGGATCGTTGGCTAATTTCTGTATGCATTTTATAGATTGTACATACTGAGCTGTGGTGGTGGAGTGACTAAATATGGATTGGTGCCAAACAAGCTGGGTCTTTGTCCCTGATTGTGTCAAATTTCTTGAGTATTTTTGGAACTGTATTCATCCAGACAAGTGAAAAGTTTTCCATCACATTCCTGAGTTGTGCCTTGTAGATGGTGGACAGGTTTTGGGGAGTCAGGAGGTGAGTTATTCACTGCCGTATTCCTAGCATCTCACCTGCTCTTGCAGCTAGAACTTCCATAAAACACTCTTAACCTTAACGGATGTACTGTGGACAATTCTGGGCACCACATTATAGGAAGAACATGAACACAGTGGAACAGTGCAAAAGCAGTTTACAAGAATGGTTTCAGGGATGAGGAACTCCAGTTACGAAGATAGTTTTAAGAAATTGGGACGATTCTCTTTGGGAGAAGGCAGCTAAGGAGTTATGATAGAGGTTTTCAAAATGAGTGGGCTGGATTGAGTGGATGAGGAGAAACTATTCCCGCTCATGAAAAGGATCAAGAACTAGAGGGCTTGGCTTTAAAGTGACTTACAATAGAACCAAATGTGATGCAAGAAACAACTTTTTTATAGAGCAAATATTTAGTGTGTGGAATGCACAACCTATAAGTGTGGTGGAGGCAGGTCCAATTGATTCATTCTAAAGTTTATTGATGATTTGCATAGAGATAATGTCCGAATATATGGAGGAACAGCAGAGGATTGGCACTAGATCATTTGAAGAGCTAAAGCAGACAAAATGAGCCGAACGGCTTCCTTTTGCATCTTAACACTGCTCTGATTCTGTTAAAACTATATGATAAATGTTTAATATAAATCAAATACTGCAGATGCTGGAAACGTGAAATAAAAACAGAAAATACTGAAGAAACCTGGTAGACATGGCAACATTTGGGAAGAAAGGAACGATAATGTTTTAAATCTGATATAATTTCTTCGAAACTGCCAGTTCTGTCTCACCATCTCATTCTTCGCTGTAAACCCTCTCCTTCAAACTCATAAGTTCCCTCCTAATATCTCAAAAGCAAAATTAAAATACTATAGGTGTTGAGTATCTGAAGTAAGAACAGAGAAAGCTGAAATACTCAGTAAGTCAGGCACCATCTGTGGATTGATCAATGTTGATAATGTTTTAGGTTACTGATCTTTGAGCAGAATTGGTCTGAGGCCATCAAACAAATACCAACTCTGGTTCTTGGTCTACAGACGCTGTATATTTCCTCCAAATATTTCTTCTGACTTTGTACCAGTTTTATGTTGAAATCTTTATATCCAAAAGTGCTATTGAAATACCATTCAACTCCCATCTCTTGTCATTAATGCCAGGGGTTTCCCACTTCAATTATAAACTTGCCGCATGCTTCAATTAATTAACTGGCTACTTTTTTGATCTTAAAATGAATGTAATTTAGCCACTCCCAAGTCCCATAATTCAGAATAGTAGATTGCAGAGTCCTTGACTTTAATTCAATGGAGGTTAACTGGAAACACTTTCTATGCAGTAGCTTTATGCATTTCTAAATATTGGACAAGTGATTTTGCTATTTGCAGAAACTGTTGATCTCATTAGGAACTTAAGCAATTTAATTACCTATCTAGACCTGTTCCCTCTTTTAGAGTCCTAGAGTTATACAACATGGAAACAGACCCTTTGGTTCAACTCATCCATGCCAACCAGATATCCAAAATAGATCTAATCCCATTTGCCAGCATTTGGTCCATATCTCTTTAAACCTTTCCTATTCATGTACCCATCCAGATGCCTTTTAAATGTTGTAATTGTACCAGACCCCACCACTTCCTCTGGCAGCTCATTCTATACACACAGCACCCTCTGCGTGAACAAGTTGCCGCTTGGGCCCTTTTAAATCTTTCCCCTCTCATCTTAAACCTATGCCCTCTAGTTTTGGAGTCCACTACCCTGGGGATAAAACCTTGCCTCTTCACCCTATATATGCCCCTCATGATTTTGTAAACCTCTATGAGGTCACCCCACAGCCTCCAACGCTCCAGAGAAAATAGCCCCAGCCTATTCAGCTTATCCCTATAGCTCAAACCCTCCAGCCCTGGCAACGTCCTTGGAAATCTTTTCTGAACTCTTTCAAGTTTCACAACATCCTTCCTGTAGCAGGGGAACCAAAATTGAATGCACTATTCCAAAAGTGGCCTAACCAATGCCCTGTACAGACTCAACATGACATCCCAACTCCTAAACTCAATGCACTGACCAATAATGGCGAGCACACCAAACACCTTCTTCACTATCCTGTCTACTTGCAACTCCACTTTCAAGGAACTAGGAAACTGCAATCCAAGGTCTCTTTGTTCAGCAACACTCCCCAGGACCTTGCCATTACGTGTATAAGTCCTGCCCTGATTTGCCTTCCCAAAATGCAGCACCTCAAATTTACCTAAATTAAACTCTATCTGCCACTCCTTGGCCTATCGGCCCATCTGATCAAGATCCTGTTGTACTCTGAGGTAACCTTCCTCACTGTCCACTACACCATCAATTTTGGTGTCATCTGCAAACTTCCTAACCATACCTCCTATGTTCAAATCCAAATCATTTATGGCAATGACAAAAAGCAATGGATCCTTGTGGCACACTGCTGGTCACAGGCCTCAAGTCTGAAAAGCAATCCTCCTACCTTCTAGCCATTTCTGTATCCCAAATGGCTAGGTTTCCCTATATTCCATGTGATCTCACCTTGCTAACCAGTCTATCATGCGGAACCCTGTCCAATGCCTTGCTGACGTCCTCATACATCATGTCCACCTCTCTGCCCTCATTAATCCTCTTCGTTACTTCTTCAAAAAACTCAAGTTAGTGAGTCATAATTTCTCACGCACAGAGCCATGTTGACTATCCCTAATCAGTCCTTGCCTTTTCAAATACATGTAAATCCTGTCCCTCATGATCACTTCCAACAACTTGTCTATCGCCGATGTCAGGCTCACTGGTTTATAGTTCCCTGGCTTTTCCTTACCACATTTCTAAAATAATGGCACCATGTTAGCCAACCTCCAGTCTTCCAGCACCTCACCTGTGGCTATCGATGATACAGATATCTCAACAAGGGGCCCAGCAATCTCTTCCCTGGCTTCCCATAAAGTTCTAGGGTACGTCTGATCAGGTCCCAGGGATTTATCCACCCTTGTGCGTTTTAAGATGTCCTGCACCACCACCTCTGTAAGATGCACGTGTTTTCAACATGTTGCTATTTATTTCCCCACGTTCCCTAGCTTCTATATCCTTCTCCACAATAAACACTGATGCAAAATATTCATTTATGATCTCCCCCATTTCGTGCAGTTCTGCAGATAACTGGCCTTGCTGATCTTTAAGGGGCCCTATTCTCTCCCTAGTTACCCTTTTGTCCTTAATGTATTTGTAGAATCCCTTTGGATTCTGCTTACCCTATTTGCCAAAGCAATCTCATGTCCCCTTTTTGCCCTCCTGATTTCCGTCTTAAGTATACTCCTACTGTCTTTATACTCATCTAGGGATTCACTTGATCCCTCCTGTCTTCACCTGACATATGCTTCCTTCTTTTTCTTGATCAAAACCTCATTCTTTTAGTTTGATTTATAGATAATCTGCTTACTGATTTCATGTTCCAGGCTTTGAACCATATCTCTTAACACCCTTATC